AAACAAACAAACAGACAAATTTAAATGTGAGCACTTTACATAAAGGTTCATGGCCAGCAAATGTGCCAAAAGATATACAAAGCTGTGAACAGATATTACAAATGTAAAGATATTCAAAGTGTGTTAAATAAAACGAATACAAAACCGTATAAAACTAATTAGGTACTAAACTAGTTATAAGAAAGCATGTGTACAAAGTGGGTAAACCACAAATTTCAATCTATCTTTCAAATGAAACAAAGCTCTTCCATTTAAAATCCAACATCTTGTGTTGTAAAAAAAAGCTACAAAAATTCTATAGTCTTTGCACTAAAACTTTGGAGATGATATATATTATTTTCATTTTGGAAACCATTTTACATTCTTCATAGACAATACCGAGCCTTTCCCCCACATTCTGGACCCTAAAACCACCAGCGACTGAGTAAAAAGAAACTAAATCAATCAGTGCTCGGTGAACACATGCCAGTACCAATATGTGCATATGACATATACCCGACTCGCTAGACAACATCTGGTCTCATCCAACAAGAAACTTTTGTACCTTCATATTTCCTTCTCTCGTCTGGCTGATTGCAACTGGCAATATGCAAGAAAACTGAGATAAAAAAAAAAATTATTAGCTCTGGAAAACTCATTTTTCTTTGTCTTTGGAGAGCCCTTGTTCAATAAACCTTCAACACAAGTTTTTACATTAACAAAAATGACAAAACCAGGCAGTCCACAAATCAGAGTAAACAAAGTACATTCTCAAGAGACCATAACACTGCACTGGCTGTGAACAAAGCTGTGGTGGCAATGCTGTCCAGTAGGATAATGAGAACCTGTACAGCCAGATAATTTACACAAACCCACAAATTGAATATAAACACTATCGAAAGCAGGATGACATCTCATAATGTGAATTCATTCAGTAAAAATGCTAAAATATCAGCATAAGTGTATTACCTGTAAAAGACAGCATTACAAATCTCCTAGAGAAGTAACTGCACCACTATGTTTCCCATTGTAGGGCGAGACCCCTGCACAGTATAATCAAATATACTGTTGAAAATCACTATGTAAAGGCTATCAAACGTTGTTCTGAAAACAGCTGGTGTGGAAACTCAGAAGGTGTTTTTCTTAGTAGACTGAGAATAGAAAAACCTTGAAAGGACACTTGATTAAAATACCTTTTTTTAGTTGTTTACACAATGCTCTGATAAATGTAATCAGTTGCTGTATGACTATAACTGGATGAATTGAATGCTAAATATTGCTGGATTGTTAAAAGTAAATGCACTTATATAAACTGGCTTCTTTAACAAATGGACTGCTAGATGAATGATATTGCTGTTACACGCTTGTTGTTATTCTTACTTGAATCTCACCCCTTTTTTCTTTGCTACAATGGAAAATGCTAAAAACAACATACAAGGACCAATGGTGTCAAGTGCTAATTCTTTGAAGAGTGCACAATTTGTATATTTCTAAAAGTTTTACATGCTAACTTGTGGGTATACATAC